ATTTAAAAAAAAACTCTTTTTTTAAGAAAAAAAAACATGTTTGACATGAAACCAAACGCAGAAAAAACATTTGACCTAGCTACTCTAAATTGCATTGTCTCTACCAAACACAAACTTCCCCACCTGCCACTGATAATCAGTAGTTGCCCTCAATTTTTTTTTTGGTTTGGTTTTTAATTCCTTATAACCATTTTCTTATCGCATACAAACATATCCCTACTTTGTTTGGAGAGCATGCGCCTTCCATGTTGGAATGTGATATGAGTGCCATTATGATTAATTAACTGAGACTGAAAATTATCACTTATGTTATGGTATGGCATCCAGTCTAAACCAACCATGCTCTGCTAAAAGTTTATCCTATTCTATTCTGTGTATTTTTTTATATATAGCTCGTCTGGATTCTGATTCCTACTTCACAAAAGAATCTCATGCGTCTCTTTCACTGCCATTATTACTATTACTAGGAGCTTCCTTTCCAAATGGCCATCAGATGAGAAAAGGAACTTCGGTTAATCAGGAATGAAGAAGAGGGCTCAATTACCCTTCAATTCTATAATCATTTAGGACAAACCTAGTGCCACGTTTTTTTATTGCAAGAGCTTTGTGAGAAATTCAAACCCTTTTTAAATATTTATTTGGCAGAGATTTAGAGAATTGCAAAGTCTCCTCTTTGCTGGTTTTCTTTTGTGCTTGTGTTTTGCAGTTTGTGATCAGAAAATAGAAACAAAAACAAGTAGAGAAGGTAGATCCAAGTAAAGCTTCAATGAATACAGATTATCTCCATCTACAAAGTTCGAGCAGTCATACAGATATCCAGGGTGCAGAGAATTGTTCCATATGTAACAGAAAATTGTGAAACAAGTAGCAAGGGTCTTCATCAAAGAGTCATAAATAGAATTATGCTCTCAGAAAAGGATAGGAGCACCAAGATTTAGTTACACTGCAGCACTTGGTTTTTGGCATCTAAGTAATGGCAGATGATTAGCACAATCATAAGCAGTGCAAGAAAGGATTTCGCATATAGTGGATTAAAGCCAAGAAAGAGAGGAGAAGAATGAATTGACTCAAATGAGTGGGTTTTCTTAGCAAAAGAATCGTTATGCTTTCTTTTCTTTTCTTTTCTTTTCTTTTCAGGGAGGTGAAAAGTTTGGCATCTGAATTGTTTACTCTGCCGTGGACCTCTCGATGGTGACTCTATGCTCAACATTTCAAAATTATAGCCAGGGTAAGAATCAAGTGTAATTAAAAGGGAAGGCATCCATCATATACGTATATATCAAATTTGGGCCTTAGTTCTTATTATGATCTTACATTTATAACTGATCATATCACGAACTTCTATTCCAGCGGTCCACTCTTGAAATAAAATTCTACTGGTACTTTTGGTGGCTATGCAGCATTTTATATTAGAAAAATATAATCCTTAGTCCTTATAATTTCATTCAGTTTTATTTTTAGTTTTTGTAGTTTTTTTTAGTGTTTTCAATCTCTATAATTTCAACAATATTATATAATTTTGTTTTCCAGACTTCTATAATTTTTATTTTTTAATAATTTTAGTCTCTATAAGGACTGAAAATACTAAAAAAAATTACAATCATTAAAAATAAAATTCGATAAAGCTATAAAGTTTAAAGATTATGTTTCTTTTAGATTTAGTGAATCAATGAAAGAAAAGTAAATCATCAAAATGACAATGCAAAACTTAGTTCTTGTGGGCCCCCCCCCCCAAAAAAAGAAAGAAAAGAAAACGGCAGAGTAATGAAGCTTGTTATTTTTACAATCTCGTCAAAGGTATCAGCTTGAAACCTTGTAAATGGACAGAAGCATCAGCTAATTAAATCACTGTAGCGTGTAATTTACAGTAATGTACGTTACACCCTAAATGCATGTTGCAAGATTTCACTTGAATAATAGAACCAGAAATAAAACAAATTTTTTAAGAAAAAAATTTAGCCTTAAAAAAAATGATGCAGAAGTGCAATTTTTAAGCAAGATCACTGGCCATTGAAAGTCTGAAAAAAACTTGGTTAAAAATGCAGCTGTAGTTTGGCAAGATATGAATTGCGGCTGGCTATATCAAAGTTCGCAAAGTGAATCATTGTTAATTACATTCAAGAAAAGCCGATGGCCTTCTATGTGGTCATCTATTTTAATTGGCCAATGAAACCTCATTAAGATACCAGTTAACGTTCAGCTTCCTAAGACACTTTACTATGATTGAAGGGGAAGGTTCCCACAATGTAGTTCATACGGACCAATGACCAAACATGACATGCAATAACTAAAGAAGCCAAAGGGAAATTATTATTTGGTGAAGGATTGAAAGGTAACCTGGTGGTCCACAGATTTTCTGTAGCTTGCAAATGTAGCTCAGCTCCCTGAAGTCCCGCAGTCAGCACATCACGACATGTGAAGACCCTGGAAAATAGCAGATTAGAAGTGTGATGTTGCTTCTGACAGATAAACGCACAAGTGATAGAAAAGCATGGCTAAATTTTAGCCACTGAATGCTTCAAGTGTAGTCACTTTCTCAGTTCATTTTCAGCTCAGAAGCCAATTTTTGAAAATATATGCATACTGATACTGACCATCAGGAATTGAAAATGATGACAACCAAATCTCTCTGCAGGCCTTAATTATTGTGCTCTGTGCTCTCCAGCCAAAAGTGAATCAGATTCATGTTTTTTTTATGGCATTAGATCTATCAGAGAGATAAGATATCAGTCCAAACAGAAATAAGACAGTGATCAATCATATTTAACTAGTGAAACCCTGCAGACATGACGAGGCTGTACTTTAAAAGAGAAGCTAAAGCAAAACAAATGGACCAATCGAAATGTAGGTATTACTTGACTTTTCTACTAACTCCTTAGCCACATTAAGCTATAACTCTCGGTCTCTAACCTCCCTCCATGTTTTTATTATCCAATAAGAATCAAAATTTTCATCCTCAAAGACTGTGTCTTCCTGATATTTCTATAATTCAAGTTCAGCTTTCAGTGTTGCAAGGCAAGCGGCATCTCAGCGTTAAGCAAACCTATAAGAGCTTTCTCTATATGCCAAAGTAACAACAACAACGAGAGCTTTATCAACACTCGACCTTTATAACGAGCCACGGGCCTCCTATATCTGACAAGAGCACCGTCTATATAAAGAGAACTCACGCGGCTTGAATTTTATTAGTTTTCAGAATTATCAAAAACTGCCTCCAGTCAAGGCATCTTTGTCAGATCACCTGTTATTATTCCCTGCGATACTGAGAAGTTACGCCTGGTGAACATAATGCTCGGGTCTAGCTTTAATGTTAACCTCGTCTTTCGTTATCCTGAAAATCTACGGAACATCTTATGATTAGGTCAGCTTTGTAACAAGCACAAAAAAGAGCATAGAAAGTGGATTCATCAAATACTAATAACTATGAATTCCTTATTCAGTTATGGACTTAATTACCTCCAAAACACAATCTGATTCCAATCCGCGCGCAACCATGGGTCTCACCTCTTGGCTCTACATTTGTTGACTGGACAACAGACGATCAAATCAGAATCTGTCATCTTACATTTCAAGTTCAATTTCTTTTGAAAAATTAAAGCTTATTCTCATAATCTCCAAGTAGTGCACTTTCATTTCGAGCAGTTAGTTATTCACCCATAAACCACCTACCACAACATTGGGATGCAAGCCACTTTCCATTCCCAAACCATGCATTCCTTGGGAAGTGAGTACAACGTCACTGTCTCGTCGACATTAGGATGAAGGGCCGAGAATTTCAGGGACTGAACCGATTTTGAGATATTGTTCTTATTGTAAATCACCGTAGGCACAAAGAAGCCAAAATAGAGATACAAAAAAGAGGCATAAAAGCAGCAATCAAGTAACATGTACATAAAACTGATGCTATATGAACTTATCAGGAAAAAAAAAAACCAGCAAAAAATTCTTCCCCTTTTCCTCTGTTAACGAAAATATAAGGGAGAATTACTTTAACGTATCACTCAACACAATTAATTACTTTTAAATTTATTAATAATTGAGTTTAGGAGAATGACAATTAATTAATGGACTTGGGAATGTTTAATTGCATTGTCATTCTCTTAAAATCAATTGTAAATAAATATAAATATAATTAATTGTGTTAAGTGAGACTTATATGAAGGGTGTTCATATATAAAAAATGTTTAAAATTAATACAAACTGATTACAACAAATCAAATCGAACCAAGTCAACATAAACCGATTAAAACCAATTATAAATAAGGTTTCATTTGGTTTTTCTTTCGGTAAAAAGAAGAATGATGGAGAGGTCCAAAAGAATCAATTAATTTAAGTTAGGTCTCAAGTGTTAAATTTCAAGAATTTGCAACTCAATTTTTCAATTTTACAACTGTATTATGATGAATTTGCAACTTATATTCCAAATTTTAATAAAAAATAATAATTTTTTTTATTCTTCAACCATATTAAAATTTAAAAAACAAGTTAAAAATATATCACAATACAGGTTCAAATTTTTGAAATTTAACAGTTGAAATCTAACTTGAATTAATTGATTCTTTTGAGACCTCTTTATTATTCTCTCCTAATAAAATTAATTGATTCAGTTCAGTTTAAGCCTTTATTTTTAGAAACTTGAACAAAATTGAACCAAGTCTTATAATATATTATATATATATATATATATTAATAAATTTGCAAAGTTTGTTCCCCTTTCCTTAGTTTAATTATTTGTAAATCATTACTAAAAATACATTACAATTAGTTAAATATTATCTACAATTGTTAATGATAATTTTTAAATTTTATAATCAAGTGTTTAAAGATAATATATTAATTTTTAATAATTAAATATGCTAATTAATTGTTAAAAAAATTTGTGCTCCAGAAATATTTTTCATTACAAATAATAATTAGTACTTAAAAATTATTAGTGAACATGAATATTTAAAAAAAAATTTAAGCTTGATCTAAATTTAAATCAAACTAAATCAAATCACTTAAAAACCAAACCGAATTGATTAGATGAGAAAACTAAATAGGTCCCACTTTACATCATCGAGAAATTCTAAAGGACAATACAATTGTGGGAGCCAAACCAATGGAATTCCCCTCTCATATTTTCCCAGTTATGGAGCAGCACGATGCCGTATGCTGGTGTCAAAACGATGCATGATCTCCGTCAGAGCCGTAGCATGAGAGCAAGTCATGTAGCAACAGGGGCAACTCAGAAGTGTGTTAGAGTGAGAGGTGAGAGCTCCAAGTAAATTTCACTACAGCTTCATGAGAAGACCAAAGCTACCTTCTCGTCGCATGCTTTGATCTAGCTTCATGCTGATCGTGGCTATTACTATTGTCTAGACGGGAACAAGGTTCTACGCGGAAATATGAAATGCAAAGCAACGAATAAAGGACAAAAGGAGGAACTTTCGGAGGAGAAGATTTCACAGAGGAATAAATACAAACACAGAAAGAGCACCATTTCGCGGCCACCGGATTCACCAACACTAAACTGAATATGGCGTCCATAAATCAACGTAGTCTCTCAACGAACGAGGAAGCGCCTTCTTCCACACGTCCGGTTCAGGAAAATCTCCAGTAAGAGCGAGGGAGCTATCATCCTTCCGATTCCCCAGATTCAGGACATGAAGCTTCTTACCAAATACTTGTTCCATCGCCTTCAAGCTTTCTTCCATTACAATCTTGCCATCTCTCAGCTTATTCTCCGCCTCTACACAACTACCTCCAACATTCACCATGATTCTCCCGCCTTTTCTCAAACTCTTGCTCATTGTCTCCCACGTGGCTGGATCCTGGAGCTCTGGTAGCAAGCTACCTTTGGAGAACAAGTCGACCAAAATCCCCGCGAACCCGTCTTTCCAGCTGGCTTTCAAGGCATCGCCAATATATATGAAAAGCCTCTGCGGGTGTTCTCTTTCAAGTTTCTCGAGGGAGAAATACTTTCTTCCAACGTCAATTACAGATGGGTCGAGCTCCCACCCGCGGATGACCACTTCCGGGTACAATTCGAGCAGGAGACGAGCCGCGGAGCCTGCACCGAAGCCGAGAATTCCGATGGGCCCGGGAGGTAAAAGGGGAGGCAACGTAGCGAAGACGTCGAAGTAAGTATTGGTGAGTAATCTGAAGAGGAAGGATATGCTGTGGATGTTTCCAGGGCCATCGAGGAGAAGGAGCCTGGAACCGGCGAAAGGGTGATCAGCTTTTCGCGAAACTTGGAGCACCCGGATGTAGTTGTACCTGGATTTGAACCGGGCCAAAAAGGTGACGTCTTCCACTGGTATACCGTCGTCTTGAGTTGTAGTTTGGGGAGTGGAGTGGCGATTTTGCTCGCATTTAACTGCCAGTGAAGTTTGAGGTGTTATGCGGAGGAGAGAGTTTTTTATCGGGATGTGTTGGAGAGGATGGCCTGAAATGAGAATGGAATGGCGAATAGGTAGGTAAGTCTGGGACGAAGCAAGCGCCATTGATATTCTCTGCGCTCTCTCGCAGTTGCTGATGGTGCAGACCAAACTGCTTTACAGCCAACCGCGTCGCATATATGCGGGAGGCATCCCTTAACCAGCTTTCTCGACATCAAAACGATGAGGTTATGGGAGGCCTCCGCCATCTCCTCCTGTTCTTTCACCGCATTCCACTGCACTCCTTCAAGAAGTAACGCACACTCATTCCTCGATGCTAATTCTTTCGGACGGTTTAATGTCCAAACTTAAATTTAGATCTTTAGCATCTACATAATCTCTTTTCTTTTCATCCCTTTAAGAATATCTAGCTCCAGCATTACCTGAGAACACATGTGAGCAATCTTATATTACTAAGGTAACTAATTTTGGTTAGGATTTTTCCTTTTCTGGCGTTAGAAGAAATCTGACACATATATCGTCCAACATGTGAAAAGTATGTATGTTAAGATTGATGTATGAATGAGAACACTCGCGTGTCATTTGGCCATTTTTTCACAAAACTTGTCCTGACGTTGGGGATGGGGGTAGACTACACAAAACAAAAGGATAAGTACGATTTATCACTGTATCCTCCTAGTGTCTATACATCAAAATATTCAAAACTCTAGAACACGTTCCTCCTTCGCGCGAACACCAAGTGTATATAGGACACTCCCCACCGACTGGAATATCCGTTTATACTACACAGACTGGCTGTGCATGAACTTGCTCCGTTTTCGTATGGGTCAGGAGGATGGGTGCCTTTCTGGCTTCTCTTCTTCCATCTCATCAGGAACATCCCTGCAGTACACAGCATATTTCTCACCGTTAAATGGAATGCAACAACATTTCTTCTAAGATGGTGAACTCACTTGCTCAGAGATGCATAAGCATGGCAGCCATCAATAGCGATAGTCAATATCTGTGTGTGCGTATATAAAATGTATAGGAAGCCAAGAAATGAGCAGTGTTTCATGCAACGCAAAGAACCCACATCTAAATGGGTACATAATCTCCTTAGGTAGAGATGATTGAGGACAGCACATTGACTTTTGACAAATGGCTAAACAGACGATTATACAATAGTTCAAGGGAGTACTACATAATCCACATAAAACTCCCATCCAGAATGGTGCTAAAATCTTTTACAGGCTCTGTAAAGTCACTAGTTACAGAGTCGGAAGACAATCACATCATAACTCCTCTATAAGGTACTGATAAACTAGATGCATTTACTAATGTTACAACAAAATATGATCTTCACCTTATATTTGAGTATTTTGGACTAGCCTTCACATCTTCATCATGATCAGAATCATAATCTTCACCACTCCATATGCGACGTTTGGGTCTTCGATCCATGTCCTCTTCCACCTAAATCCATTTACTGAAAAAAGTCAATCCAACAGAAGAAAAAGATGAGGAGGCAATATCCATAATTACGTTAAGGGGCAAACCTCTTCTGGAACTTCAATTGTACATGGTGTTGTCTGAAAAGGCACACTGGGTGCATGAGGAAGTCTGGAGAGCTGTTCTAATAATGTGATCCTGAAAACAAAACAGTTAATCAATATTAGTTACCGCTTGCTCCATGCAAAGCCTAACAGTGCCAAAGGTACCGCATTGTAGGAGTCTCAATAAACCCAAGCTTCAGTCGCCTAGCGATACATGCAACCAACATGAAATCCACAAAGGAAAGACCATCATGCAGGCATGAACTATATCTCTTATGTGCTTATACAACTAGGCAGAAGACTCTAAGATCATTATTGCAGAAAACTTAATAAATTTGAGTAACTGAATTTGTAATTGCTCAAGACTGGTAGGACTCCCTTAATTAAGAGAACATATGGATGAAATCAGAATCTTCAATTTTAGTTCGACTAAAAGTTACTAATGCTGAGATTACCTTATTTTTTCCATATCCTTGGATGAGTTAAGGTTCTCCATGTTACATGGATCAACATGAAGAGTGTAGTCTGGGCCAAAATACTCAAAATATTCATTGTAAGGCAACTTATTATCAGGTTCAACACCCACAGCCACCGCTGTCTAAAACAGAGAAAGGAAGTGTAATCAATTAGTGAGACTAAACAACAAAAAGAATTATGCATAATTCAGTCAAAGGGGAGGGACCTCATAACACCAGCAACGAGCAACATTCCTAATCGTATATCCTCCCCCACCCAAGACCATCAAAGGAACATTGAAAGATCTAAGGAAACGAAGGCAATCTGCATGACCCTTGACAGACAAGTTGAAGCAACCTAGCCTGTCACCAGACAATGAATCAGCACCACATTGAAGAACAACTGCATCAGGTTGATACACCCCCATGACTTTCTGAATGATGGGGCGGAACAACCCACGGAAATTCTCATCATCCATTCCATCATTCAACGGGACATTTAAAGCATAATTCTTCCCTGGGCCTGCCCCTACATCCCTGATGTGCCCAGTGCCTGGGAAAAAATCCCCAAACTTATGAAAAGAAACTGTCATCACTCTGTCAGTTGTATAGAAAGCCTCCTCAACGCCATCTCCATGGTGAACATCAATGTCAACATACAATACACGCTGCCAGCAACATAGAATGGACAGTAAGAACAATATCGTATTGGGAAAAGGACAAAAATAAACATATGGCATAAATAAGCATTTGCTCTTATGTCTAAACGTGAAATAAGAATGGAATAGAATCACTGTTGTGACTGAATAAAAATGGCTACATGGCTGCTAATTTTGGGATTCAATGTCATTCCCAGGAAAACATTTCCGTTGAACAGGCAGAAAAACTATAATTAAAAGCACAGCGAGTGGGGGATTGTGATTGGTACCAAACATAAAAAGCATCAGCCCTACAGAACGAACATATGAATGTAAACACCATTACTGTGTGCTTAGCAGTACTTTCTTCAGTCACTCCATTTCGATGACATCTCATCGGCTGATATCTTGGCGGCACCCGGTATATGGGAATCTCGATCTAATGATTTTCCAAAGTGCTCATAATTTTATTATATCAAAACGCCACATAAATATGTTCCAAGGCACATGTAAATTAAATTACCCACGCACCATGCATCACCGAACTTATTTTAAATTCATTGCCATGCAGTTCAATGGGAAAATTTTACATATTCTGCAGCAGCAATCCAGGATTGATCCAAGAAAAAAACCAAGAAACAGGGAGCAAACTGAGGCAAGGTTTATGCACACAAGCTATGGAAGTATATGCAGCAATAAGTGTCCCAAAACAACAAATGATCAAACATTAACATAAGGATCGCGGACTAAGAAAAGATAAAGAGGGAAAGGGGAATTCAGACAATTAAAAGAAATTGAATTTACCCTGTGAACCTTGAGCAGCTCAAGAATGCCGAGGACAATATCATTGACATAACAAAACCCAGAAGCCTCAGACTTCTTGGCATGATGCAGACCGCCGGCCCAGTTGATGGCAATATCAGCATCGCCACGGTTCAGCTTGACAGCGGCGCCAATGGAACCACCAGCAGAGGACTGACAAAAATTGAACAAGCCGTCAAAGACGGGGCAGTCCTCGCCAACATTGAAGCGCTTGAGCTGACGAGAGAATGTGTTCTCACCGAGGGTCTCCGGCGTGACGGAGGAGAGGAACTCGACGTATTCGTCGGTGTGAAAACGGCGGATGTCTTCGGGGGCGGCGGGGAAGGGACGGTTGATTTCCATGCGGCGATGGAGGTAGTAATGGACAATGAGATTATGGGCCATGCGAATCCGATGGGGTTTCATGGGATGACCCTGGCCGTAGTAGTAATCGCCGATGGTGGGTTCGTAGAAATAGGTAACCCTCCTCTTCTTGGCGTCTGGACCCGAAGGCAAAGAAACACCACCACCCTCCGTTCCTTCTCCCATTCTCTATGCAGCACTGCTACTGCCAGATCCAATATTCCCAAACCTCGCTCTCTAGCCCTCTCGCTCTCGGTCTATCTCTCGCTCTAGTGCTTACAGCTATTGACTGGAGGGGCTTCGCTCATGCACACGACTCTACAAATAAGTGCAACGCATCCCGCATAGTCTGAATTCATAATAATAATAAAAATTATAAAAATTATAAAATTACCTGTAAAAATTTTAAAACTAAATCGTTTAAAGTAATTCTGAATAGTTAATTTATAAAAATTATAAAAAAATTTAATATTAAATTATTGTAAAATTAAATTTATATTATTTAAATTGATGATAGATTTATTAATTTTTTTATAATTTTTTTAATAATTTAAAACAAAAATAAAATAAAATTTGTTTAGTTGGACCATTCAAAAGCAAAATCGGACTCAAGATATTATGACATATTCCTAACTACTAAACTAATTAACCTTCAAAGAATAAATTTTTATTGTCAAAATCAACATCAACATATAATATAAATGAAATTAATATATCAAGCTACGCTTTTTATTCCATACAGTATATAAGCAAAGGCAATTTAGTTACATCAATAAAAATAAAAGGCAAGACATCAAAAATTTGGTACCCTATGAGCCATACTTTCTCATTTACTTTATATTCTCTTACATGTTAATTATATTTTCATTATTTTTTATTTTTTTATTTGTGGCAGATGAAGCATTAAAAAAATATACTCAAATTAATATTATTGCAACTTCTGATAAAGTTTCTAATATTATGATTGATTAGAAAAAATCTTTATGTTTGTTGTGATTAATATATATTTATTCTAGATTGTATTAATGTATTTTCAATTTGTATTTTCTTAATGATTTAGGAGGAGTTTTATTTTTACTTGGAAAATTAGTTATTAAGGAAAATATATGTTTTTTTTACCACTAAAAAACTGTAAAAAAAATGAATTTGTAATTTTTAAAATTAAAAAATATATAAAAAATATTTTTTATTGATAGATTAGCCTGTTACATGTTGGTAGCAAAAGATACAGGTTATGTTAAACTATCCGGCTAAATTCACAACTCTCTATAGGCCAACTCGCAGGTCATGGACTGACTTATATTACCAACAGAAAACCACTTACCTATTCCAATACCTGAACTATAACTATAATAATCGTAATTGTATTGTAATAAATATAAAAATAATACGTATAATCAGGTCATGCATATAAAAGCATGGAATTGTAAGAGATCTGGATCCGGTTGCTGATGACATTATAGTCCAGCCCATTAGGAGGCCCAGATTTCTTTACTTTAGGCTTTAACAGGGCAAACAGACCACCATAGCTATCATGTCAGAGCACCCCTGAGTGGAGCACATGGGCCTTTTCGGCCCCTTGCAATTTGTAAATTGTTTTGTATCATTTACCCGTAAACCTAACCACTGTAGATTTTCATGTCATACTAATTATAGTTACTGGTAGACTTAAAATGGTTTTGCATAGCGATCCAGATTTTTACCAATGTGACGTTGTTCTATAAGCAAGAAGGGGGTGGCCATCTAGATTATCTTCCCCAGCATCTGTTTCTTGATTTTTTTTTTTTTGAGAGAATTACCTCTAAAGACCTCCTAAGAAAATCAAATGCAATAAGAACTAACATCATGTCACCATTCAGGTAAATCAAGTTGTTATTAAGATTTTAATAACAAACAATTTCGTATTGATCATTGTTTGTAAATAATTCTCTTCAAAGGTTCTTGGACATGATTCTCCCTTATTTTTTTTTTTTAGATTTACTTTTTACACCTGTGAGTTGGCAGGAATTCATTACAAAATCATAAACGCAGGTTGCTGAACTCTGGAAAGAAAATATTGAACTATATTTCTGAGGGACAGTGTTTGATGAGCAAGAATACCACATGAACTAGTCTTGGACTTTCTGTTGATGAGCAAGAATACCAGATGCTCCATATAAGACACGACAAATTTTCTAACCATTCCGGGACATGGTGGAGTTCTATTCATCGCACTCAGATGACTACAGTATCAAGTACCAACAGCTTAGGACTGTGTCCCAGCGATGCAGGCTTTCACAACAGATGTATTATTATTACCATTGTTAATAATTAAACTCAGTTATTTGATACTAAGGGATTAGAGGGATATTTAAAAGTTAGCAGTTTGTTTCAGAAAGCAGTTCTTATCCACCTTAATCCAAACATCGCCAGGGCTGCCACCTGGAAGAATTAAGGGATATGAGTTATTAGATTTAAAAAGGGACTGAGCATTATAGTGACTTATTTAAAAAAGGGTTAAATTTATGGAGGCATATTGATAACTAGAACATTGTTTCTGGCTAAGCATACATATTAGGTATGATTTGTAGTGTCTCGAGTCTTAACACAAATAGGAATGCAAGAGAAAAAGTCTCATTTTCTCTTCTTTGGTTGCCATCACTAAATTTCATAAGCCGACGGAAAATCTCGTCCGATAACACGTTTTCTTAAGAAATAAACTTGTGCCTGCAATTGATGTTACGTTAAACACAAAGTGTACCAAAAATAAATAAAAATTTGGAGAGTAGTGAAAAAGAAAAAGAAGAAAGGCTTGAGGGTGGTGTCAAGTCGTGGAGCCCGGGAGAAAAGAGAGACGTGGAGGCACTAGGCAGTCATATATTCCTCGAAAGTCAAGAGATAATAATAAAAAAGGAAAGGGGAAGAAGAAGAAGAAGTATGTGGACCAGGTTAGTGTGAGAAATATGTTAATTGGAGTGCTTTACAATGCAGTCTAATCATCTTTAATTTTTGGGATGAATTGGGGACGAGAGACTTTAATCAAGCAGAAGAAGGTGTTTGTGGCCTTGTGGGGGTGATATCTTCTTGCCTCTTTTTGATATATTGATTGGGGACATGTGAGATTGCATTTTCTTCTCGAGGCATTTTAATTACAACTTTTGACTTATTTACATGTGGCTTGGGTACGTTGATTGTCTCCCGAGGGACCAGGGAATCTTCAAACCCTCCCTCTTAATCACACAATCCTACTGCGCTTTATTAATTTTAAATAACCCCTTTTTTAAGTTAATGATGTAATCCCTCTAATTATTATCACTCCCTTTTTTTTTATTTAAAACATGTTTTTCTTCTTCTAGAACATCAAGAGAAGTTGTCCGTAACATAACGAACGCTTTGTGTTTAAAAATAATAATTAAATGCAATAATATTATATCATACGCTACAATTTGAATGCCAATAACATGAGCTGAACATTTTTATTTGCGTATCTTATAAGTCGGATGGTGGTAATGGTACTAGTTGGATATAAATAGCTGGTGATATCATCAGAGTGGGGCCACGTTATATAACATGAAAAATCAAGGAGAAAGAGACATAAAATCTAATGTAATAATGATCGTAAAAAAGAGAAAAGCAGGAGCAAGAGCATTATATTGGAAACATTACGCTCATGAACGTAAACAGATAACAGCGATGATAGTAGTCTTGTTCTTGAACTTGCGTATAACAAGGGCGAACACCAACCACACATATTAAAATTGCTTCGAAATTAATGAATTCCCCTCTTATGAAATACTATATGCTGGCACCTCTTATATGTAATGCGTGTGTTATGAGTTCATTGCTTTTTGGGATCTCCCGGCTAAGCGAGCCGTAGTCTGTTACACACCCAGAAGAATGAATTAAAGAAAGGTATGCAAGTTAAGTGATTCTGTTTTCTGTTATGTTCTTAAAATAATTTTTTAGAATAAGTTTTGAAAATAAAAAAAATTAAAAAGACTCTTGGAATCATTATTCTAAAAAATATATCCACATTGATGAAAGAATTATTTATTTAATTAACATAATTGTTATTAATGCAAACATTATGATATTTTCTATCTTTTCTCTAATTTTGTGGAACAAGAAGTAACATAACATCAAAAAAATGTTCTGTTCTTTTAGTTTTCTAAAACAACTACTTCTAGACCTTAATTATATGTGACTGAAAGTTTTTGTTGTTTCGTAGGATTTAACTCTGGAAAATCATTGGAGAAGGCCATCGAGAAGGAGATTGACGAGTTTATTAATGTGAAATTCATGTTATAAATATATATATATATATATATATATATAACGAGAGGTATTGTCTTATTTTGGTCATATACATAGATACATATATACATACCGTAATGGTGTTGCGTGAGAATGAAATGTGAAAAGGGAGGGAAGGATCTGCAAATAAGAGAGGAAAGAAGCAGAGGATTAAAGGGGAGGCAAAGAGGGCTAATCATTTGGGGAAAGGATGAAGGAAAAGGAATTGTTTTCCAATGCCTTTACTTTCATTCTCAATTTCTCATCATTCTCTCATCATCATCACTTGAAAAGCAAGCTTTATACGTTGTCTCCCCTCTTTCCCCCCCTTGATTTTGACACCCTCTATTGTTCCTTCTCTCAAATTACCACTAATATTCCCCTTTTGCATGTATATTATCAATAGAGAAAATTTTAATGAAGTCCTCTTTAATCTTAGTCAAAGCTGTTAAAATTATAAAATTTCACTACATATGTAAGAGATTGAAATAAAATTAAAAAAATAATTGAAATGACCTTATTATTCCCAACGAAATAAACAAGTGATGTATAGAATATAAACAAGTGATGTTTGGAAGGTAAACAACTTGTATGAGTGAAATTTATAACTCTTATTAATAGCATAACACGTATAAATAAAAACAAATAAAGCTAGATACATAAATAACTCATGTAAAAAAAATGAATAGCTAAATAGATTGAATAAAAGTTGAAAATAAAACGCTTGTATTAATTTTTTTAATAAATATTATTTGTAATGCTCATGCATCCACTTTCTTATTTCTCTCTCTCTATGTGTGTACTTCCGTTAGCTCAAGTGTTAATTATTAGAAAAAATAAAATAGTGAAATTCACTTCACATACATTCCAATCCCTCCAATCTTATATGTATAGGTCACTTTTTTTTTTTTTGAATTGATGACACCTTTTACAAGTCAATTTACATATATAGAAAGAGAGATGATTGATTACTTTCTTTTAATGTATGTATGAATAAAGTAAAATATTACATACGAGTGAACAAAT